TCAAAGTTATGCAGGAAAAACCCTTTTCTTACATACTGATATTTTTCATTAAGTGTCTGAGAAAACCATAGTTCTAAAATTTATCAGGCCTTAAGGTGCTGTAAGAAAATAATCACAGGATTTTGCCAAAGTATTTCATAATTCAGATCTTCTTTACGGTCAGCACATTTAAAGCATAGTACCAATTTGTCTCTTAACATTTTATAATATGGACATCTCCTGTAATACAACCTGACAAATCAAATGGCTTAGAAAAACATATAAGAAATAAATAGAACTGAAAAGTTAAATGGGATGCATGAAGGACAATGTGCTAAACTCAAATTTAAGAAGTCAGGCATTCCATGTGAAAAAGAAAGCGATGGTTGTTGCACCTTTGACGCTTAACTCACTAATTCAATCCTCTATTAGATGAACTATGAAAGAGAGGGTAAGATCTTGTTATTTAGCAAGTGTTTTCAATGAAGCTGAACAGTAAATTATTCTTATAAATTACTTACCTCGAAGTCCAAACATGAATACTGACTCTACCAGCCTGTATAAACTACACACTTGACTGTGATAATACAAGAGATTTAAAAATTTTTCCTACACTAATGCGTTTTTACTGAAGGACAAGAATGGTTAAGTGCCTCTCTGATAAGCTGCATACTGAAGGTATTAGGAGCTTGGGCTGGAATAAAGATGAGGTTCAGACCATACTTCAGGACTGCTAGCGAACAGGAAACTGTTCACTGAGTTCATATGCAGTGACATTAAAGTGCCATTTTCTAAATCACTTTTCACCCAAGAAAATCCAATTCCTCAGCAAAAGATACCTATTAACTACAGAAATGGGATCTAGGAGAAGATAGTTTGGTTTAAGTACTACCAGAGGAAACTTCTCACCTGAACTAGTGCTAAATGCTCCTTTTGAATCTTGCAGATTGGTTATTGACTACAGAGTTGAATTTGATTTTAAAAATAAAAATTCCTTATTGAACAGAAATAAGAGTTTATTTAGGATATTTGGATTTGGAATTAGGATATTTAGGGTATTTGGAAATACCGGTAGCTATTCTATAGATGACCTAATGCATAGCGGAAGCAGAAGCAAAAAGCGGTATTTATTGATAGCTGACTCCTGAATTTTCCTGTTTGCAAGAGCACTTCAAGTGATTTTAAACTATTTCCTTTTCAAAATTTAGGCTTTTTAAATTGGTTCTCGCTTTATTTCAATCTTCAATTTTTCCTTCCCCTTTTTGGGTTCTATATTTCCTAATAACATGATTAAGTTAAATTTTATACAGACAACTACAGCATCTGTTTCTTAACACGCCTAGAGATACGGCTATGGGCAGTCTACAAAGGTTTAATTGGATTATTAATAGAGTTCATGCTCATCAGTTTCAACCTTTACCTATCAATTGCCTACAGATCACTCGCTTTTGGTATTTTGCAAGCACTTTTGCAGTTTCATTACTATCAACAGAACTGTCTACCAACATATGGTACAAATCATTATTTCTGTTTACTGAGTGATTTATGGTATTTTGCATTTGAAGATGGTTACACTTTTCAACACAAGACAAAAATCTCCGTATAGTAATGACTGAAGGATAACTGTCTATACTTCTTTAGAAACAAATTAAAAGTGTAGTTATTATTTGTACCTGATGATTTTTATTGGATTTTTCTTATTCACGTCCTATGTTAAACAGAGCAAGATGTGAACAATAAATTCAACATGTAAAATGAAGATCTAAAGCACCAGATATACTGACTATTATTTTCAAATACAGTGGCAAAACCCTAGTAACTGGAAGTATCCCAGCTCCATTACAAATTCTGTTTTCCTTAGCTTTGCATAGCACAATCAAGTAGGTTTATAGTTTGCCTCTATTGAGCAAATACGGAAATAATTTTGCTAGTGGATAATGATAAAGAATCCCATTTTCTCTTATCAGTTGCAATTCTGCAGATCATTTTATGTAACAGTGAAAAAAGAAATGAAGAAATATAATTCATCTCAAACTGAATTAAAGGAGTGCTTAACCCAGAAGTTTCAGAGAAAGGCTATGAATGGAACCCCCTGTTTTTGAGGATTAAGTTACAGAGTACATTCAGTCTGTTTATTCACACATTACCTTTATACCCTGGGAACATTTTCCTGTTAAAATATAAAGCCATGAAACTAGCATTGAGTCTAAACTATAATCTGCTGCAATGTACAGTAGATTCTAAAGGAATACTACAGGAATAGTATTTCAAATTCATATACATGATCACTAATGATCCACTTAGTAAAGTCACTTCTGTCAGAATATGTGTAACATATTACCATTTGGAAGTAAGTTCTCTTTTATTTCCTATTTTCTTCCTTTGTGCAATCAGTAGTGAGAGTTTCTCTTTTGCCTGTTGCAGAAAATCAGCTAGATTAGAATTAATCAAAATATCTATTTCCTGAACTGGATACATGGCACAACTTTTGCACCTAAAGCAGTACGAAGGCAAAAATCACCTTCATTAAAATGCAATCCTTGGACTACAGTTAAAAATTCACTCCTTGTGCTTATTCACACCCTGGCTGCAAAGTTTTACTTAGCATAATTATGCAAATATTGTCCTGTCAAAGACTCAAAAATGTGGTCAAATTAAGAAATGTTTTGCTGGACCATATTCTACCTAGGAAGGAATAGACCTTTCTCCTTTTTAATTTTTGTCTCTTTTAAACTTTCCAGTTGAACCATTTTTGTTTTGTTTTCAGTACAGTTTTGTTTTTCAAAGTCTAAGAATGAAGGCCTGAAAAACAAGTTTTTTTTTTAAAAAAAAAATCACTTATGAAGCATTATCAAATTTAAATATTTCCAAACTGAAAGTTAAAAATTCCTGAATGTTTACTAGCAAGGGAAATTTTCATTTTTGTAATGAAAAGCATCATGTAACTGCAGTGATCTTCCTCTAGTAAACAACCATTAATTATCAGCTCTTTGATTCATGCTCTTACTCTGTATAATTTATAGATAACAAGAATTTCATTTATTTGATACTTTTCTTTTTGTATCTTTTGTATCTATCTCTCATATTTTGTATAAACAATGTATTTTGTTTATAAAATCTTTGTTGTTTTAAGAAGAGTACAGCTTTCTGTCTTTGAAAAAAGAATGACAGACTTCAATAGTTTGGCATGCCTGTAATAATACTCTGCATGTGTTTTTGGAAGTGAAATGTATGTCTAAGGAGATCGTTTTGTTTTCAAGAAGTTACAGAGTAAGAAGAAAAATTGAATTATGAGCTTACTATGAAGAACCTTTCGACAGTTTCCTTTTTAAAGACTCATTTGAGTTGCAGGACTCCGTTAAGCAACAAAATTAATTACCAAAATTTTACATTTGCGATGAAATCTTACATGTGATTACAATTATAGAACAATACAGCTCTGAAGAACATTATGAAACACCCAAATGCACCTGTAGTCAAAAGCATAATTTTGTCTACTGATACTAGAAATGAAAATCATATTTTCATAGATATTGCAACTTGGAGTTTCGCTATAAAAATGGCAAAACCTGTAAGCCAAGATGTTATTGAGCACTTTATATTGCCATTTTCTGCCAAAATCACAGAAGGACTGCAACTAGAATATTCTGCCTTACTCTGTATATTTGGCACATGTGTACTCAGTGATGTTAGAGATGAGAAATTTCTATTTATGATAGAATGAAATATTATAACGGGAGAGAGACATCAGTGTTTGAATATCAAACTTAGAAGAGATGCATTGGTGAGAAACGTTGGTACTGAGTTTTAGTAATGAGGAATACAACATATACTGGAAGGGCAAATAAAGAGACTTCCACATCTCTCTCTCTCTGTGTGTGTGTGTGTTTAACATACCAAAAACCAATCCTCCTACACATCACAGACCATTCCAAAGTAGCTAGCAAGAAGAAACCTTGTATCTTTCATATCACTCACATTTCATTTAATCTTATGGAAGCCAAACGCTTTCCTTTTTAAAGGCAGCTTTCCAGGTAAGCCTATAAATAGATAAGTTAACAGAGTCCAGGAGGAAATGCACTCCCACCACAACCTGAGACTATTTTTATGTTCGTAAGATGGCTTCTTTTTGAGAGCACTGCCTACCACCTCGCTGCCTGCCTAATCCGGAGAAAAGATTAAAATACACCAAAAAGAAAACAACTCCCATCAAAATACTTGAATGAGCTAGTAGCATTAAAAAGCATTATTTTGACATACTAAATATTTCAAGAAATAAGCCTATAATAAATAAGATCCTGCTGAAGGATAACAAGAACTCAACTCAGCAATACTTAAATTTAATAACATGCTCGGCTAAATGCAAAATTCCATTTCCTTCTAGATCAAAATTTAATTGTTCCACTTCATTATTTGATAGTAAGAATGCATTCTATTAAAAGGCTTATTTATTATTGTTTTTCTTGGGCCAATACTTAAAAACTCTGGTATAACACTCTTTTTCTGTATAAAGTTTATGATATATAAAATACAATATAACTGAGACCAAAAAAAAAAGATAATTTCCCTAAAATAATAGATTTGTGCGATGTAAAATCCCCTAAGAGCACCTGAACAAAACAAGTATTTCCAAATTACTTCAAAGAGATTACCTGCACAAAGGAAAGTCGCTGAACTGGACACAGAGGAAGAAACAGCAAGATGCTTACTCACTTCTGTTCACATCCCGGGTTCCACACTAACGGAATATCCACAACCAGTCAACACACCAGTTTAATGCCCCTTACACATTGAAATTATTAACAAGTTTACAAAACTAATAGACTATAAAATATAGGTTTGTCAAATGAATATTCTGCTTAAAGGTACTCCTGAAAACACATGTAAATAGATAACATTATATTATGCTTTCAAGAACAAATTTTCTTTTTTTTTGTGTGTGTTTTCTAAACACTAGAAAACACTAGTTTTGAAACATGCTGAAACATGTTTTCAAATATAACCAAATGGTTCTGACTTACTCTGGTAGAAGAATTCACCAAGGAACTGTTCAGATTGCCAGTGTTGCACTTGAAATTCAAATGTTGATCAGGGTGATGATGCATTTCCCAGCTTCCCACTGCTGACTTGTCGGAATTTGCAGGTAATTTCTGGAAGGCAGTGCAAGTCATTCCTATGAAACTAGATGGCTTGATCATGAAGGCCTCTAGAGCGATATTAAGGGATACCTGTCAAAACATTGAAAAGCAGGTGTGTTGCTAGCATATTTAAGCACAACTACATTATATGTGCATTGAGTATTTACTGTGCATGCATCATAAAGTGTTGTGCATGTGCACACTTCCATACCTATGCATATGAATAACAAAGAAAAATGAACTTAAAAAAATGAACTTGCACTATTCCTTGCACTTTTTTTTTTTTTTTTTGAGAATCCAAGTTTGTAATACAGAAAAATTATCCACTGGATAATGGAAAAGTCCTAACACCTGAAAAGAATTACGGATAAATATTTGTATCTGCTATCTGCCAAGCAGCTCAAAAATACACTGCTTGCAGGAGACTCATCCATATTATGGAAAAAAACTAAGCTTAGTTTAGACACCAGTCTGGCTACAAGTTTTCTATAATCCTTGATAAAGTCATTTAATCATGTATAATTTCAAGATTCCTGCTGTAGAATGGGTAAAACACTAGTTCTTTATTTTACACTTGTGAGTTGATACTGAATAAGTAATATTAGCTAGATAACGTAGTAATGAGGATTCTGGTGATTTTACAGAAGTGGACCCCATTTAGATTTTTTTTTTCTTTTTTAATATGAAATTCTTTAAACATAAAGATTTTCCACTCTCAAAATATTCCTGTAAACACCTGGCAATATTGAAATGATATGAGCCTACAACTATCTGCATATGGAAACAGATGGGTAAAATTCACAGTAAAATTAAGTTCCTTATGCAGGACTGTAAAATGAGCTATAAAATGGATACGGATGAATGCAGAGCAAAATTATCCATGGAAACAAGCTGCAGTCAGAAAGGTAGGCATTATGAAAAGCCACAAGCTAATCATCTCGTCTCTAAATGTTACAGATATAGAAAATGATAATTTGGTGCCTGTTTTCCAGACCTCAGATAAAGGCAGCATTCAGCAGAAGGGTCAAGGAGGCTGTGACGTGGCTGAGCTGAGAATAGCCCTGAAGGGAGCAAAGACTGAGAGCATAAACAAAATGCCCCATTGCAGTTAGACTAAAATTAGGGGGGACTTGAAGATTACTGTGCACTCCTGAGAAAGCACTAAGGAAATAAGTTTTTTCCACTTGCATGAAGTCTTTTTTTTCCCAAAATACACATCTAACACTCAATATTGCCAGGACAATAATTAATGTCCTGCACTGAGGGCAGAGCTGTCATGGTTGGGCACCCTTGGCGGGTTGTTACATCACCTGCTCCACGCTGTATTATAAACGTGTACTTGTACGTTGAATAAAATACTCAAGTACGATCTCAGAAGCAGAGACTGTATTTATCCCTCATTTATCTAGCATTTGAAAGATGCAGCAGGCCATTCTTGATTTTGTATGTTCTCTGACACCAAGAGAGATTTAGGCGAAGCTAAATGAATGTATCTGTTGCCGTGTTTGCCTGAGCTTGAAATTAGTCACCCCACAGCTTCATGGATTTTGAAACAAACAAACAAAACAACACCAAAAACCCATTTCCATCTTTCAGAAAAGTAAAACAGTAAAGGTCAGGGCTCTCAAGTAGATTTTCAATATATAGAGAACACAGCCATGCATGTGGTATACAACTTACATATATTAGAGGCATATTTTTTTTCAGAAACTGTATTATAAACTAGCAGCTAAATAAGCTTGTTGGTTGTTTTTTTCTGCTTAAATAAAACCACAAAAAAACTCAGAACAGATGCGATAGCTGCAAGACAGTTTTCTGGGTGGCTTCCAGAAAGAAGGGAAGTATTGCCTGAGTTGGCCAAAAAAATCCAAACCTCCACAGCTTTGTTTATTTACAATTATGTAAGTGTAAACTAATTCTCCAACAGAAAACTGCAAGAAGCACAAAGATAAACCGTGGCAAAAAGGTTATAGACACAGATCTATATTTGAGTAAGCAGAAGAGTGTGATAGGAATGTCAACAGGTTCCTAAGGAGCAACAAGAAAATGATCAAAAATGCCAAATGACCTTTGGCACCTGACATTCAAAAGAAATCATAAGCATCTAGCAGCATAAGCATCTAGCAGCAGAGCTCCTCTATGCTGTCACATTGTAAAGGCCTATTATTATTTCTGTACCTCGATATAAATAACTCTATTTAGTAAATGTTACTGTTTCATGTAAAAATGAATAAAAAACCAGCCCAATATATTTTGTTAGTTTATTCTGTAAGTGAAAAGACTACTTTTCCAAAATTATACTGTAAGACTAAGGTCATTCTGCTATAAGGCGGTTCTGCCCATATTTCCATTTTCTTTTTCCTTTTTTTTTTTCTTTTTCTGTAAGTGAAACTAACATTGTACTCATTTTTACAGAGTTTCTTAATGTAAATGCAGCCGATAGTTGAGAAAATAATAAAAGCTGCTCAAGATAGAGTGGGCAAGGAAACCAGCCCAAGGAACAATGAGTCTTTAAAACATTTGTCTAAAATTCTAAGAGGATTAGACTCAAGCTTCTGAATTATATCCATTTCTCCTATTTAAATGTTGAAACTGATAAAAAAAATGAACGTGACATGTATGTATACAAATGACGAATTCACATGAGCTGGAGGCCAAGGAACATGAGCAATTATTTCAAATAGCTAGCTTGCTTCTAAAAATTAAATCTAGCCACAAATTAGTGATCTTTATGACAAGAGACACCTTTTTTGATCAGGACTTTCTAAATGCTTTAAGCAAGTATTATCTAGAATCCTATCTGAAAGGCATATTAAATTCTTCGGGCAATAAAAGAACATGTTGTCTCTTATTAAAAATTTCACTTACTCAACTTAATCCTTTCAAAATGAACCCAGATACTACAGTGACGATAAAAATAGAAACCAAGTGAAGACTAAGAACACCAGAGAGACAGTGTTATTATAATAATAAACACAATAAATCAAAGTCAAAAGGAAGAATTTTAAAGAAAATCAGTGATATCCAAAGACTTTTTTCAGTCTTCCAAATAGAATCCAGTTTACCTGCCTTATATACATTCACCTTCCTTCTCTGTATAGTAGATGGTATATAAAAATGTGATATCAAAAGATCTGGCTAAAAAGTAATGTTGTAATTTTATGACATGCCTTTGATATAACTTGAACATTGTTGGTCAGCACTTGACTTGCAATGTGCTCTACACATCGTACAATTCTGGTGCACGCCTTGTCTTCCTTTTGAGCCATCCACAACACATGGTCATCAACCAGCATTATATTGCTGGCAATTTCAATCAGGGCATCTCCAATCTGGGGGGGGAAAAACAAACAACCACCAAACAAAAGATAGCATTAAGTATTATCCACAAAACATGGAAAAAAGCACATAAGAATGCAAAAGAAAGCAGGTATTCTATTTTGTAATAATAATTAAAAACATTTTTGATTCTACTGAAAAAAAAAAAAAAAGATGGAAATACAAAGACCAAGGAAAGAAAACAGAAGTACAGTTGAGTTCAAGGAAAAGTCTTTGATTCACAATGCTAAAGATCATCTCCAAAATTCACCAAGAAAATTGAGTCCTTAACCAAGTGATTAATGGACTCCTAACTGTAAACTGGGAAAGTGAAAAGCAGCAGGAAATGGGAAAATGTGCCTTCCATATCAAAATTACCACCCTCTTTCTAAAACTAATTAAAATTGACCACGCGCCTCTAAAGAACTGCCCCATGGTTAATCAATAGTTTTGATAGGAGAAGAGCAGCAATAACATATTGGAAAAAAAAATTTTTGTTTCACACTCAGGAGAGTAAGATATGCACCTATATTGTTTTACTGGCTATACAGTAAGTGTGGTTTTGTAGCTTTGGATGTTTTCACTCACTCCTGTGATTATAATGCATTCTATGTGAAATTCTTTGTGACTGTTCCAGAAATATTTAATCCATTTTTGAGAACATAATTACTAGATGGTTGTAAATGGCTTTTGACAATGTAACAAACAGACTATTGATTCAATGAATAACACTAAAACACATTAAGAGACTGAAAGGAACGATTTACAAGAAAAGATTAAAGTACACACTGATCAGCTAAACAACAATTAACTGAGGTCAGAAAAATAATCTATAAATATTCAAAAGGTGAGGAATAAGGAGAGGAGGTAATTTATGCTATAATTAAATGCATTAATGAAGAATAAGTGTATGACATTAAAAAAATGGAAATTTCAGCTAACATGCATACATCTTCCTGGCAGTGAGTTGCAGTATATTGACAGGTGAGCCAACTTATAATTTATATATAAAGAAATAATCCTGTGCTGACTGGGAAATAATTCCAGAGAGGAATTAGCACCGAAATTCAACCTGTGGAGCTAGATTTTTTATTTTAATTGATTTTGTTAATTCACAGAAAATCTCCATGTATTTTTATTATTTTCTAATGGTTTCCTCTAATCATTGCCTCAGCTGTTAATCAACTATAAACTAATATACTTTTGCTCATATGTTGCCCTGTAGAAAATGAAGTTTGTTCCCATTTTTAATCATATGAGTGCCGCCTCAGGAATGAAGCTATTGCTACTTTAAATGTGCATGTATTTTTTGTATCTTTTGAGTAAGAGTTAAAAATGGGTGAATAGAGGGCTCAAAGTATGAGAAGCCTGCTTAGTGAACTTGAGGGATGCAAGAAAGTGTAAAGCAAAAATGAAAGTTAAAATAAGGGACAAATTAGCAGAAATGCTCTAAATGAAAACTATAAGGGATAATGAAATAAGAGGTGTTAAAAACGAGCAGCGGAAATGGAGATGTTTTGACACTGAAAACCAGAAACAAATCTTATCTGAAAGGTGGAAGAACTCAAGAGATCAGAGTTGAGCTTGATTTTAGTGAATAATGCATCAGCTGCCAGTATGATAGGAAAAGGGAAGAGACTTTATAGATGTATCAGACTCCTTCTTTTTGAAGGGTAAATTTTTATTTTGTCAAAAAGCTGTAATGTCATATCAAGACTTTGAGCAAGGAGGCCGAAATACATTTGTAGCTTTGAAACATGATTCTTGGAGAGCAGTTAATAATACACTCTTGGTCTGGCATATGATGATGAAATTGGCTTTCTCAAATTGGCACTAAAATGTTAACTATTACAAACCCCAGAGTCAGAAAGAAATGAACATTGCCAAACCAAAAGAAAACAAATATTTTAACTATAGCTATCATGTGTACAAAAATTACAGGCTATGAAATCTTTATGCAAGCAGTTACCCTGAAAATTAACAGTAAAAACTATTATGAACATTGCTGTTCTCTATAAAAAGCTATTTTTCCCTTAGGGTTTGCATAACTCTCTGATTAGATTTCCTTGTAAAAATGCCATACATTGTGCTAAAAGTTTCTGTAGAAAGTTGTACTTAAAGACACATTCACTCTCTTCATGTGAAGTCATACAATTTCTAAACTCAGTGAAAATTTCCTCCACATTTATTCTACTGAATATAAATGGAGGAAAAAAAAACAAACAAAAAAAGGCTTTTTTAGCTCCTGGATACTAGTAAGAACAAGATTACTCCTAGATACGGAAAGACAGAGAGACATTCTTATTTATTAGCCATAGTGAAAAATAAAATGACAAAGTAAACTAAAATGTGGCTCACTGAAACCCAATATGAAATTTTAAGCAGCAATCTCATCTATCAGGCAGATGCGATGGCTCAATCTTTATACCCTTTATGCTCCTTTAGCCATAAAGAAACACATTATAGTACAAGTGGAATGGTAGCAATCAGAAGATCAGCAGGCAATGTTAGAAACTGCTCTTCAGGGCATTCCAGCATACATTAAGAAAAGGACCACGTGTGAAGATTCACTTATACATAATACTTTTTCAAGTATTCAAAAGAAATCTTACTTCCTCAACTTCATCCACAAAGACAATTAGCTTTTCCATTATATAAGCCAAATATATTACATCCATTTTATCCGCAAAGTGGGAAGCACCTCTTGTGTAAGCTGTCAGCTGGCGGGAAAATTCAAGCACGCTGGTCAAATTGATGTGCATCTGAAAATACATCAGAATTGTTATGTGCAATATATCACCTAGATCCATTCTTTAAAAACAGAGGTCATCATGGCAATATGAGGTTGGAGGAAAGTCTAGCGACCTCCAGTCCAATGTGAATCAATCTATCACTCYGTAAATTCACTGAGCGCTCTTAACATAATGGTTGCTCTTATCTAAGCAGGAAAACATCTGAAAACAAACTCTCTGTGGTGGTATTTAGCTCTATTTATTGGGAAGAAATTATCTTGGAAATTGAAAGTGGTAAGAGTTGGCATGGCAAAGGCCTGTGCCCCTGTCCATTCTGCTCCTTTTCTCATGCAGCATTTCGGTCTGCTTCTTATCTTTCTCTTCTCTCTCTTACATAAGGAACAAAGTGAATATTACTTTTTTCCACTTTGAAGATAACAAAAACACCTTCTAAAGCAATCTTCATTTCTACAGCTCTCTTGTGGAACAACAGAAATAGTGAAAGGCATTCAGTCAACAAAACTCTGACACAGGCCTTTAAAGCAAATTAACATTTTTCTAGTAAAAATGCATGAATGAAAGACAAGAAAGTGAAGCCTGATGACCCTGCCAACATTACTAATGCTCATCTAGACTTCAGGAAGTTGGAGTAAACATAATTAAAATAAAGACAATAAATGCTGGGCCTTTATTCCTATTACAACTTAAATGACTAGAGAAATATGTTGCATTTCAAGCAAAACATTCTGCTAAAAGTCAACGTATCCCAAAGACGTGGTTCAACAGACATTTTCTGGCAAGCTATTCAACCCAATTGATGATACAGAAGAGAGTCCCAGATTTCATGTTACCTGACTGAAGGCATGAAGAACTTGAGTTATTTCCTGTGAATAAGGACACTCAGAATAATTTTCTTCATCCCAGCGTCCAGTTCTATTACATTTACGCCATGCCTTAGATTCTTCTGCTCCCTTGTGAAAGGCAATGGAGTTAAATGAATATTGAAGACAGGGATGGTAGGCAGTTATCCCAGCCAGAGTTTTGGGCCATCTGTGAACAACACAACGTAAAACAGCAATGTGGAAACATCTTACTTAAAGGCAACTTACAAGATACTATATGAAGAATATTTGAGGAAAAAAAAAGTGGTAATGCTTTATAATAAAATAGCCTTGCTTTATAATATGCTTTATAATAAATTACTTTGCATTAGAATAAATTATTTTGTTTCATTGGAAAATGACAAAAATATGCAGGCTTGAGTCTGGCTGATGACACATTAATTCTGCATTAATTCTAGCAAGGTGTTTGCTGCTAAAGAAAACACATGTGAATGACATTTCCCCTACATTCATTTTTTGCTGACTGCACAAAGCAGAGCAGAAAGTCCATCAGGCATAAACTAAAATCTATAACAGGCAATAGCTCCAAAATGAGCATGACAACCTCTGTCTCTCATTGTGACCCAACAGCAGAAAGCCTCCTTGGCCACAAAGTCCTCAAAAATTCCTGTACATAAAAGAAATCAATAAACAAGACGGAAAGAGTGGAGCTTGCAACTCATGGAGGAGGACATAATTAGCCCTCACAAATTAAGTATTTAGGCGTAAATGATTTATTCACTGTGGTGCTAAACCAATCTTTGAGGAAAAAGAATAAGACAAGAGAAAAGAGTATTGTTCTATTTAGCTAGCAGGTCTACTATGTGGCATTCTTGCTCTATCTGCTTTATTCTCTAGAACTGCACAGTTGGGATATATTTCTATTGGTACCATATCCATTGCTTTCTCCAGAGAAGTATGGACAAAGCAGGGTCAGTAATTAGAAGGACTCGGACAAAAATAGAAGCATATCATCAGCAAGTTTCCAGGTGCCCATAGCATGTCTGGAAAGGATGTGGTTCTTACTTTAATTGCACTGATGTAATGACTGAAACCAAGCAATCATAAAAACAAAAATATTCTGCAGACAGTAAAACAGAAGCTGTATCTTGACAATTAGTTTTACTCAAAAAATACATATTTGGCTCTGCCAAATTTTAAGATGCACATGCATTTGGACATAACAACCTGTCAAGTTTTGGGATACATACGTTTTCTTAATTTCAAATGAAGAAAAGAAAAGAAGAAAAAATATTTTCATTTGTCACAGGTGTCACTGGAATAATTCATTATGTGATGCAAAAACAGCTGATGCAAAAACAAACCTGAAGAGAGTTTCAGGAAAAACTGAAACATACACTGTATTATTGTATATTTCTTTTTCCCTCTGTTCTAAAACGCCAGAGAGAAAATCTTTCACTCTTCAGTAGAAGATTTGTGTTAATCCAACTGGACTACCAGTTAGCACCTTATCTGCAAAGCAAAACTAAAGAGGCAATTCTGAAACTAACTGAGCCTGAGCACAGGTAGTACAATCTGGCCTTTCTGTTTAGCAAGGCTAGGACATAACACCGCCACTGTTTGGATTTCAGAATATAATGAAATGAACAGTTTATAGTGAGCTGAAGAACAAAATAAAATCAAAATATTGTAATATTGTATAGAATATCTTTCAGTACATAAGGTCAGTTTATTCTGACTTACAGTGCATAATTCTTATTGCAGTTCTGCAATTATAAATACCAGCTAGGTGGTCTACTATAAAAACTATGCTTCCATAATGCTTAATACTCTACTTGCATACTTGCTATGTTATCGAAACATCAAAGACCTTTTAAGAAAAATTACGGGTGTGATAGCTGGATCTCCGCAGATAGAGCTCTGGAATAATTTCAAGTGCTAATGCTAAGTTTGTGCCTGATAAATTCTCTGCAATTTTAAATTCATTCCCCTCAACTGTCAAAAGAATCTACAGACTCAGCATCCTTTTGATATATGCTTTAAAAATAAATTTGCATGGACTTTTGGAAAGATGGTCAATAAGGAGAGAAATGGGCCCTCCTGCTCCTTTGATTTAGAGTGACAAAATGCCCCTGGTGTTAGACTATGCAGTCTGTAGGATTTATATATTTTTTATTTATGATGAAAAGGATTTCATTTTATGGCTAAAACATGGACTTCATAAAGTTGTCATCCAAAAGATTCACTATGTGTTATCTGATAGGATGCATATATTTTTTAAAGATCTAATTAAAATGGATTTAAACACATTCATTGTGGCAAATCCAGTGACAGCTTTGGCGTGACAAAAAGATGTCTATCTAAGATTTTCAAAAATCTTTAATGGATTAAAAATATATTTAGTAAATTCTTTATACTTGCTGGAACTGAGGTTAACCCATAAGTTAGCTTTCTAGCACTAAAAAAACATATTATGTGAATGGGTTTCTCCTCATTTCTTGCAGTTTTACTCCCAGCTTATCAAAAATAAGAACTACTACCAAAAGACCCTTAAAAGAGTTTTAATGATAAAATGAAAATGAAGAGAAGATCTGAGTCAGAAATATTTGCAGGAAGTTCTGATGTTTAACTGAGAAACTCTTGCTATGGTCTTCCTTACCTCCAAAGAACTATTCTCCTCATTATTTACTTGCTAACAAATTACCTTCTTGTTTGATTTCTAAATGAGAATGTTGCCATACATCAATCCCAGTGTAAAGCAGGTACTTATATTTTGTTCAAGAGCATTATGCATATCACTAAAGTATTTTACGAGCCAGTTGAAAACAATATCAAATTCTGAAAAATTGTTGACTTTCTTCAACTTATGGATTTGAAATAAAATTTAAAAAAATGATTGTGAAAGTAAAGATGAAACAAAAATTTAACAATACTGTGCAGACAATAAGATTCATAAAGCAGGACTGATGTGTTCTCTATTTATGCTATATATTAGGGGTACTGTGTTTGCCCTTAAATTTTTCACAATGGTTTTTCTTTGCTGAAGTGTTTTTCTTAGTGTTTTGATTCTCCTATGAACTATGAACCATAAAATCATACCTGAAATCACCCTTGTTGTTAATTACTCGTTCTGCAGGGCAATAGGGTGCAGCTGTCTCAAGTACCACAATCTCCACTTGTTTAGTGCTATTTCCATAAGAATTGTTGACTAGACATTCCCAGTCTCCAGTTGCATCAATGTCAATACTGGATAAGATAAGCTCGCTGTAAAAATAAAGATTAATTATTGAAAATATTATATAGAGATTAATATATTAAGATTTCTTCAGAGCTCTTCAAATGCTATTATAGGGAAAAACAATATGCAATGCTTTGATATTAAAATTTTAGCATGACTACCTTGGATGGACCACTTAAGTCATGAGCAGCTAACTCAGGGATTACAAGTAACCACAAAAGACAATCCAGTATTTATCAATCCCCATTCTCCTTTCCTCAATTAATGTGAGATGATGTTTTGTTTGCTTAACAAAGCACTTAAAAAAGAGAAATGTATTTCAAGTCGACAAATACTGATACTTCTCTTAATATTCTGCTACTGACAGAATTCAATTACATCTTTTCCCTACCGAAATGCAGTTATTAATGTCAAAAAAGCAGGCTGCAAAATATCTGAAATATTTACTTTTAACAAATAGCTAGTCTTTGAAAATGCCTTGTGGCTTACACAATTAGAAATTACGTGGAAAGAAATGGGGTACATTCAGAGAGTGGGGAAGCTACATAAAGAAAGAATCACAGAATTTAAAAGTTATTAAATTGATCTCAAATCTATCTTAAAACAAAATTTAAAATTTTCTTTTGGGGGCACTCAGTATTTTTGCAAAAACTTGCCTTTTGTAAGATATATAATATATATGTGAAAATTGTACATATTTTAATATGTTTTGCTTTTTATATTTTTTCTAAAAACATTCTTTCCCAGTCTAAATATTTATTAATGATACACACTTCTATTTGCTTTACTACCTGAACAGATCCAATCTCCTTGCATATAAACTTCTGATATGTATATATTAAGGCAGACCACAACCAACGTAAGACGTGACTAGAAAGCTGCTTACGTAATATTGTCTTTGAAATACACGTATTAATGAAGGATGATTTCCTTGGGACTGTACTATAGTAACATTATCTCGATTATCTCGATCCCCAGAAAAAAACAAGCAAACAAAAAAAAAAAAAAAAAAAAAAAAAAAAAAAAAAAAAAAAAAAAAAGCACCCTGTGGTAAATAGCTTTTGATTAAAGTTAAAACACCTCTGCTTCTCTGTGTAATTTGTGAAAAATTCAGCAAAATCTATCATTAAGCATTATCTTGAAAAATCTCATACTGCTCCAATTTACTCTGTGTCTTTAAGCTCTAAGCAGTTTGGAACCTCTGATCTTACACTTACAAGAAATTCTGCCATGTTTTATTTCAAGGAACACCAGAAAAGTATTAGTGGCCATTCTGCAGCAGAGGAACTGAGTTTTTTCATGTCAACAGAAGCAACTGATGATGGGGCCCTCTAACAACAGACTCCTAGCTATATCTCATAATGCCTCTTTTTACATTCAGTTAAAAATAATTTAGTGAGATTTAGTGCACTGATAAAGAGTCTCAAAATACATTTTCAGTTTCATATCTCACAAAAGTCTCACAACATACAGACAGTTAAGAATGACAATATTCCTAGAGCTTATAAAAACAATAATCTAGATAAGCTCTTTTTCACTGCATCAATAGTTAGCATAAAAACTTGCTTATTGCACCAAGGCACAGCAACTTCCCAAATGAATGAAGAGTATGATAGATGTGCTGGTCTTTTGACATACTTACTACTGAAGTATTTATAGCCACGGTTAACGCTACAAATTAGATAACACTGAGAACCATACCGATTTTTCTGGAGGAAAAGGGAAACTTGGGCATATCATCAATTTTATGGGTAAACAATAGGAAGATAAACAAATAGGAAGAAAAAAAGTACATTTTCAATTCTTTTAAATCGCTGGAACATGTTCTGGTACAAAACTGCACAGACAGGTATTTACTGCTATGAGATTGTTGCTTCCATAAGAAAGCCGATACATGAACACTGGTTCAAATTCTCTAAGATAAGGAGTATATTCTCACTTTTAGTTTTCTATGGCTCTTCCTTCAGAGGTTGAACAAAATATTATAAGACAAAATAGGGCTATGCTATGTAGAAGCTCATTAATGACTGGAACATTAATGACTTCTGAATTGCCATCTGTAAATTATGAATTTCTTTATGTTTCCGTACAAATATTTTGGATAGCAAGCCCAATGGTGAAACTGTTCATCTGATTGGTTTTTGGATATGACAAAGGATAGAGAACTTGGAGGACTGGATTAAGCAAAGAAATGTTTACAATCTTAAAATGAGGAGTCAGCTTGATCTCTTTAATATTTTCTCCAACTATAAACCTTGGCAACTTCACTGTCCTGGCAGACTTAAAGGAAATACAGGGAAAGGTTACACAGAATTTCAAATCTCTTTATAAAACTTTCAGGTGGGTAATTTAGTTCTTTTAAGAGTTGGCACTACTACAAGAGCACGCTCAGAAGTTCCAGTTTTGTCCTGATCTTTAGCAGAAAATTTTTCTTGATCTTTCCTGAGGAGAAGCAACAAGATTTGGTGAAAAGTCTCCTGTCACATGCATTATGAGTCTTAGGAGCCCAACAAGAGCACAACAGAATTAAGAGAGGATGGCACCTTTGCCTTTTATTTATTTGTTGTAAGCTCGGGTCTCTTAGAAGCTAATAAATATCAAGACACTAATGAAAAGGTCTAGCTTGTACTATGCAGTTTTCCCAAGTATGAGACAAGAGTTTCTACTCAGTTATCACATCCTCCTATATGGGCAATCATTCCTTTTGAAATCATACTGGCCTTCTCAGTTAACTGAAGAACACTGAATGGAAGAAAGAGAAGATACCTACTCCTTTCTTGCACCAGGAAGTTTCATAAATGAGACTATTCCTTTGCAAATGTGATGACTGTTACATTGAAAATTTAATTAAAACTTACAGCTGATGAAAATGCATGAAAAAAATCATTATAATATTTAACAGAAGCCTATGGCATTTTGCATTATGAAGATTGGAAGCCTAATACAGGCAGAAGTCACATCCAAGTAATCAAGTAAACTATGGTGAAAGAATTCTGTTTGTTGTATAGTTTTTCATTGCTACAGCTATGCATAACTAATGAGACAATCAGAAGTAGGTCTCATTATGCAAAGTTACTCATCCATGTTCTAAAGTAATACCTTAGTGACATTTGCTGTATGTCCCAGCAGTCATTTACATGCCAGGAAAGCAAGTAACCAGTGAAGAGGAGACTAACATGATAACCTGAGTGGGAGAGGTTATAAAGTTGAACTTGATTTCCTGTAGGGCTCTGTAAGAAGTAATCTCTGTTTTGGAGAAAAATAAAAATTAATATTTTTTAGATTTCCTTATATTCTTCTTCAAACAGATAAACAGAGGATGCTTTTCTACAGTTTAAGCAGGAAGCTTGCATAACCTGCATCTAACCCAAGCTACCTTAAATTATTAATACTAACACAGAATTTGAAGAGACGAGTGTCAGTCTCCAGGGAACACTGCTGCTTAGAATGATGCCTTTCACAGAGGATGTAAGGTTAAAACATGGAAAATGAAAAGAAAACGTGTAAATCTAAGCACTTAAACTGAACTTAAAATGCTGGTTTGATCTCTCTGACAAAATTACTTATTTATCCATGAAAGAAAGTTTTAGGATGCTGATGTTCTTTAGAGAAAACTTGTGTCCAGGACACAGGAAAAGGAAGATTAAATATTGAAATAAGTACTCGCTTTACACTAGATGGCTAGCAAGTACTTTCAGGTGTAATCAATTTGTCACAGACAGAACAAATTAAATACAACTCTTCTGATCAGATACAGGAACAACGCATAACTTAATTTCCCTGGTAGCCATCCAAGGCACTTTGTAAGTTACTCCTGTAAGTTACTCCTACCAAAATTTATCTATTGCCTGATTTATTACGACCATAACAACAGGTGAATTGGGAATCAGAGATGTCAATGACAATATACAGACATGATGAGCTAGCCACTTTCAAAGTGGATGAAGAGACCCGTATGCCAGTTGGTAAACAACTTCATATTCTTTTCTATTGCTAAAATATAATTGACTAAAATGTCAGTGGAGTGGTCAAATATACTGCCATAGGCAGAGTATTATCTCTTTGTTATGTAAATATCTGTCAACTAGTGAGATGTATTTTCTACAGGCAGATGTCACAGAATCTGTGGCCTGCAATTATATGCAATCAATTGGTGTGTTAAGATCAACAAAACAAATAGGAATACCAGAGTAATTACACACTACCATATTCTGAGGTAGTCAGAAATCCACTGTATTATGAAGAGGTATATAACATACTAAAATAAGTTTTGTTTCTCTGTTATTGAGCTTGTCAAGTAAAGAGAGACAACCAGGTCATGCTACCCAAGAACATGCTGCAAGGTTTTATAAACTAGGGTGACTCTCTTGGAGTCCCACAGCCAATAACAGGGCACACAAAACAGAGATAAAAGGTATCAACAGCCCCTGACCACTCCAAGCCTTCTCTTGCTGGAGAAATCTTCTGGCAAACGAGGAGGCTGTGACACTCCTGCGCTATAAAGAGCTCTGAACTGAGCACAGCTGGGCCAGCCCTCATTTAAAGGACTTCATGAATCAGCTGATTTATCATTGAGCTGCTTTGTCACTTGGTGAAAGATGTGGGGATGTCCAGATGTGTTTATTGTTATTAATTTTGTTGCAACAGCAAGCCACTTGCCTGCAGGATGCAGTCAACTGCAGTCTGCTGGGGAAACGCTGCTACACCTGCTTTATGCCTTTCATTTGCCCTCAAGTAGTCTCTGCACTGCAAGGTTGTATCTAGAGCAAGCTCTAGTTCATTAGCATAGCTCTTGTGATCTCCACCCTAGCAGAGGTTCTTAGACAAAAATAACACTGTGACAATCAGTCCAGCAGTCAAAATTGCATAAAAAGCCTTTTAAGTAAAATATTTCCCAGATGATTCACAAGTGTTAAGGTCCTTAAAACAATTCTTGATTATTTGATTACATGCCACTGGGACTAGTCAAAAAGAAAAAAAAAGAAAAGAAAAAAAAGCGCCGTAGTTCCACAGTTCACCACACTGA